CCTGCAGCACAGAGACGAGCTGTGCTGCTTCGCAGCCAGCACCGTGAGACTCCCTTCTGACTCACACGATCAGAATTTGCTCTAAACTCTTAAGCTGCATCTCCAGGACTGCTTTCCTTTCATGCTCATGTCTGCGGTAATCTGTTGTTCAACGTTCAATTATGAGAATTCCGGCGTATTTGACATTGCATGATTGGTATTCACAACTCTTAGCAGTGCAGGCCCCAAGGAAAATGCTGCTTCACATTCTTCAGCTGTGGGAGAGCTGCAGAGGCGCAGGAAATTATTTTTCTACCCTTAAGGCCTATAAAATCATATTTTAAATATGTTTCAAAGCTTAAAAATCAAGACTGTCATATCATAAACATGCTTCCCCTTCATGAATTTTTATAATATTTTATTAAATGAAAAGTCATTACTCATTCATTTCACAAGACTGAGGTGAAAGAGAAAAACACCTAAGGTTCTTTTTGACTATGGCAGAAAATAATTTGCATAGTGACTTTGTTTTCTAGACTGAAAGACAACATCATGTTTACATTGCCTGTTTTCTCCTCTTAAGCACTAAATAGAATGTGTGTGAAATCTTACAGGGCATAAAGAAGAACAGAGGAAAAGCACTAAATTATTGCAGGAAGCCTAATCTGTTTTTCTTCAAGTTAAAGGTGAGCAGAGTTCCCCAAAGCATAAATTCACATGTTCACGCATGCTCAGCGTAGGCTGGTAGTGGCTGCCTTCAGGCACGCCTCCACTTCTGTCTGTTAAAACTGATCTTGCCAGCACATATTCTGTACTCTCTAGTATCCAGCTGTGGTCATATCGGCAAGAAAAGTTACATGAAATTTACTCTTGAGTCTTGGCGACCTGGGAGCTTGGAGGCCTAGACCTCAGTTCCGCTTCGGGCAAGACTGTGACACCGTGTGCAGGCCAACGGATTCGCCTGGAGTTTTATGTTATTGTCAGTCAAACAAGCAAATATATCATGAGATGACTGAGCCACTCAGTTTTTTAGATGTTGGCAGCAGTAGTTATGGTAAGAAAATGAGACAATGATGAAATAGTATTCTGGCTTCTCTTATATTTCATATAAATATTTTTAACCTTAACTTAAATCATAATTTTTGTTTCTACTTAAAATGTCATTTCGTGAGTTGTGCAATAATTGTTCACTGATGTACAGTTTCTTTTGGGACTTCCTCAGCAGGAGGAATCCTTTGTTGGTTTCAATACCTAGCAGTACCTCTGGCCCCGGTGCATGCTCAGGGAAGGCTTGCCAGTGGAAAAATGCAGGAGTGAGCAATTTAACTAACAGGAGATGGAGGGCATCAGCAAACCTTTCGGAACTTACAACGAAGCTAGTGTTCTCTTGTCCGGTCCCAGATCTCTGCATGCTGAGCCTTCCCAAGCTGCGGTGCCCCAGACGCCAGCCTCCGCAGCCTGCCTGGCGGCGCGCTTCTCTGCACACTTGGACTGAGCCTTCATTGGAGGCGGTCAGAACACACTTGCTGAACAATGACTCATGTTCAACTTGGAACAACCTGTACGCCTCACACTTGGAGTCCTTGTCTATAATCCCTCAACGTTTTTATTGTAATTGCTTAACTTTCCCTACATATGTGAATAATACGCCGGTGTGCATTGTCTTCCCTGAAGATTTCTCACAGCCACTGCCATTTCTTATGTGATTCAGAGCCCTAACAATCTGCTTCTCTGTACTCATTGATTATAATTATGTTTTCACAAGTTAACTGATTTAAAAGACTAAGAATATCCTGCAACTGTAATAAATAAAATGCTAAAACTCTAACCAAGAATATTAGAAATTATGTAGCAGTGAACGTGAGCTCGGACAAACTCAATGTATGAAGACAGTGATGTCCTCCTAGCCGTCCTCCTCACCTGGCCCTCCAGCGTCCTGGTAGCCGTCCTCCTCACCTGGCCCTCCAGCGTGCTCGCAGCCATCCTCCTCACCTAGCCCTCCAGCGTGCTCGCAGCCATCCTCCTAACCTGGCCCTCCAGCGTCCTCGTAGCCGTCCTCCTCACCCGGCCCTCCAGCGTCCTCGTAGCCGTCCTCCTCAGCGGGCCCTCGAACGTCCTCGTAGCCGTCCTCCTCACCTGGCCCTCCAGCGTCCTCGTAGCCGCCTCCTCACCTGGCTCTCCAGCGTCCTCGTAGCCGTCCTCCTCACCTGGCCATCCAGCGTCCTCGTAGCCGTCCTCCTCACCCGGCCCTGCAGCGTCCTCGTAGCTGTCCTCCTCACCCGGCCATCCAGCGTCCTCGTATCCGTCCTCCTCAACCGGCCCTCCAGCGTCATCCTAGCCGTCCCCCTCACCCGGGCCTCCAGCGTCCTCGTAGCCGTCCTCCTCACCTGGCCCTCCAGCGTCCTCGTAGCCGTCCTCCTCACCTGGCCCTCCAGTGTCCTCCTAGCCATCCTCCTCACCCGGCCCTCCAGCATCCTCGTAGCCGTCCTCCTCACCCGGCCCTCCAGCGTCTTTCTAGACGTCCCCCTCACCCGGCCCTCCAGTGTCCTCGTAGCCGTCCTCCTCACCTGGCCCTCCAGCGTCCTCGTAGCTGTCCTCCTCACCTGCCCGCCAGCGTCCACCTAGCCGTCCTCCTCACCTGCCCGCCAGCGTCCACCTAGCCGTCCTCCTCACCTGGAACTCTAGCGTCCAAGTAGCCGTCCTCCTCACCTGGCCCTCCAGCGTCCAAGTAGCCGTCCTCCTCACCAGGCCCTCCAGTGTCATCGTAGCTGTCCTCGTCAGCTGGCCCTCGAGCGTCCTCATAGCCGTCCTCCTCACCCGGCCCTCCAGCGTCCTCGTAGCCGTCCTCCTCACCTGGCCCTGCAGCGTCCTCGTAGCCGTCCTCCTCACCTGGCCCTCGAGCGTCCTCGTAGAAGTCCTCCTCATCTGGCACTCGAGCGTCCTCCTAGCCGTCCTCCTCACCTGACCCTCAAGCGTCCTCCTAGAACTCCTCCTCACCTGGCCCTCAAGCGTCCTCGTAGACGTCCTCGTCAGCTGGCCCTCGAGCGTCCTTATAGCCGCGTCCTCACCCGGCCTTCCAGCATCCTCGTAGCCGTCCTCCTCACCCGGCCCTCGAGCGTCCTCCTAGCCGTCCTCCTCACCCGGACCTCAAGCGTCATCCTAGCCGTCCTCCTCACCTGGCCCTCCAGCGTCCTCTTAGCCATCCTCCTCAGATGGCCTTCGAGCGTCCTCATAGCCGCCTCCTCACCCGGCCCTCCAGCGTCATTGTAGCCGTCCTCCTCACCTGGCCCTCCAGCGTCCTCATAGCCGTCCTCCTCACCTGGCCCTCCAGCGTCCTCGTAGCCGTCCTCCTCACCTGGCCATCAAGCGTCCTCGTAGCCGTCCTCCTCACCTGGCCCTCCAGCGTGGTCTTAGCCGTCCTCCTCACCCGGCCCTCCAGCGTCTTCGTAACCGTTCTCCTCACCTGCCCCTCCAGCATCCTCCTAGCTGTAATCCTCACCTGGCCCTCAGGCGTCCTCCTAGCCGTCCTCCTCAGCTGGCCCTCGAGCGTCCTCATAGCCGCCTCCTCACCCGACCCTCGAGCGTCGTCCTAGCAGTCCTCCTCACCTGGACCTCCAGCGTGATCCTAGCCGTCTTCCTTACCTGGCCCTCCAGCGTCCTCATAACCATCCTCCTCATCCAGCACTCCAGCGTCCTTGTAGGCGTCCTCCTCACTTGGCCCTCGAGCGTCCTCGTAGCCGTCCTCCTCACCTAGCCCTCGAGCGTCCTTCTAGCCGTCCTCCTCAACTGGCCCTCGAGCATCCACGTAGCCGTCCTCCTCACCTGGCCCTCGAGCGTCCTCCTAGCCGTCCTCCTCACCCGGCCCTCCAGCGTCCTCGTAGCCGTCCTCCTCACCTGGCCCTCGAGCATCCACGTAGCCGTCCTGCTCACCTGGCCCTCCAGCGTCCTCGTAGCCGTCCTCCTCACCCGGCCCTCCAGCGTGATCATCGCCGTCCTCCTCACCTGGCCCTCCAGCGTCGTGCTAGCAGTCCTCCTCCCCTGGCTCTCCAGGTGGTCGCAGCCGTCCTCCTCACCTGGCCCTCGAGCGTCCTCGTACCCGTCCACCTCACCCGGCCCTCCAGCGTCCTCGAAGCCGTCCTCCTCACCCGGCCCTCCAGCGTCCTCGTAGCCGTCCTCCTCACCCGGCCCTCCAGCGTCCTCGTAGCCGTCCTCCTCACCTGGCCCTCGAGCGTCCTCCTAGCTGTCCTCCTCACCTGGCCCTTGAGCGTCCTCCTAGCTGTCCTCCTCACCTGGCCCTCCAGCGTCCTCGTAGCCGTCCTCCTCAAATGGCCCTCCATCGTCCTCGTAGCCGTCCTCCTCACCCGGCCCTCCAGCGTGATAGTCGCCGTCCTCCTCACCTGGCCCTCCAGCGTCGTGCTAGCAGTCCTCCTCCCCTGGCTCTCCAGGTGGTCGCAGCCGTCCTCCTCACCAGGCCCTTGAGCGTCCTCGTAGCCGTCCTCCTCACCCGGCCCTCCAGCGTCCTCGTAGCCGTCCTCCTCACCCGGCCCTCCAGCATGATCGTAGCCGTCTTCCTCACCTGGCCCTCCAGCGTTCTCGTAGCCATCCTCCTCATCCAGCACTCCAGCGTCCTTGTAGGCGTCCTCCTCACCTGGCCCTCGAGCGTCCACGTAGCCGTCCTCCTCACCTGGCCCTCGAGCGTCCTCGTAGCCGTCCTCCTCACCTGGGCCTCGAGCGTCCTTCTAGCCGTCCTCCTCAACTGGCCCTCGAGCATCCACGTAGCCGTCCTCCTCACCTGGCCCTCGAGCATCCTCCTAGCTTTCCTCCTCACCTGGCCCTCCAGCGTCCTCGTAGCCGTCCTCCTCAAATGGCCCTCCATCGTCCTCGTACCGTCCTCCTCACCGGGCCCTCCAGCGTGATCGTCGCTGTCCTCCTCACCTGGCCCTCCAGCGTCGTTCTAGCCGTCCTCCTCCCATGGCTCTCCAGTGTGGTCGCAGCCGTCCTCCTCACCTGGCCCTCGAGCGTCCTCGTACCTGTCCTCCTCACCTGGCCCTCCAGCGTCCTCGTAGCCGTCCTCGTCACCTGGCTCTCCAGCGTCCTCCTAGCCATCCTCCTCACACGGCCCTCCAGCGTCATCCTAGCTGTCCTCCTCACCTGGCCCTCCAGCGTCCTCGTAGCCGTCCTCCTCACCCGGCCCTCCAGCGTGATAGTCGCCGTCCTCCTCACCTGGCCCTCCAGAGTCCTCCTAGCCGTCCTCCTCACCCGGCCCTCCAGCGTCCTCGTAGCCGTCCTCCTCACCTGCCCCTCCAGCGTGATCGTAGCCTTCCTCCTCACCTGGCCCTCCAGCGTCCTCGTAGCCGTCCTCCTCACCTGGCCCTCCAGCGTCCTCGTAGCCGTCCTCCTCACCTGGCCCTCCAGCGTCCTCGTAGCTGTCCTCCTCACCTGGCCTTGCAGCGTCCTCGTACCCGTCCTCCTCACCTGGCCCTCCAGCGTCCTCCTAGCTGTCCTCCTCACCTGGCCGTCAAGCGTCCTCCTAGCCGTCCTCCTCACCCGGCCCTCCAGCGTCCTCGTAGCCGTCCTCCTCACCCGGCCCTCGAG